AAGCCAGGAGCTTCTTCTGGGTCTCCCACGTGGGTGCAGGGGCCCAAGGACTTGAGCCATCTTCTACTGCTTTCCCAGGCCACAGCAGAGAGCTGGATTGGAAGTGGAGCAGCCGAGACTAGAACCAGTGCCCATATGGGATGCTGGCACTGCAGGTGGTAGCTTTAGCTGCTATGCCACAGCGCTGGCCCCAATACGTCTTTAAAAAAAAAAAGGGAAGCACTGATTTATGATTTTGATAGAAAAGACATTGATAATTTCTTCCTTGAGTATTACAACTATATTTAATAAAAACAATTTTTAAATTATTTTTACTTAAGACCCATCACGTGGTATGCTTTGGTGGAAATATTTAAATAGCACCCAAGGCTTGTTTTCATTCTGCATTTGCTCCTCTGGAGTCACGCAATTACTGACGTGAAAGCCTCTTCTTTGGCAAAGCATCCTGAGTTAGGGATATCACTGACACACAGCTGTGTCTCCCAAATACAGGTCTTGAGACGCTGCCTTACATAATCCCAAGTATTCCATTCTTCTCTGGCAGTCTCAGTCACCATAGTAACCAGAATCCGGCAAGCACTTGAGCTTTTGATCATTTTCCGACGGTATTCAAAGCTTTTTCTAACAATATTCTCCCTTCATTACAGCTGTAGCTACACGTGAGCACTATTGTAAGCAAGACGCCATTCATTTTGTTCAGTTCTTACTCTCTGGGCTGTTCTCTTATACAGTAAACAGAAAGAAGAGCTAATCTGTCATGCATATATTGTGAGCAGGAATTTGCAGTCAAGAAAAATACTCCATTAAGCTGTTTGCAGTTGGGAAAATGAAAGCTCTGACAATTTTGATGAACAGCTTAATGTGAGGTGTAAAGACAGACCTCCAAGAGTGGAACGAGAATTTATTACAGCCCGGATGAAACATTAAGCAGATCCAAGCCTTTCATGCAGTGAGCTGCACAGTGCATTTTCTCACCCCGCTCATAAAGAGTTCAGGAGTCCGTGTGAGAGGGAACACAGGGGGGCTTCAGGGGTGCTGTGTTCCGTTTCTTTATCTGATATACGTGAGTGTGTTCAGTTTGTAAAAAATACACATCTGGCAGGTGCACATTTCTTCAGTATGTTATCTTAGGTAATAAGTTTGATATCCAGTGTATGAGATGAAGTGTGAACAAGAAACCACAAAGGAAAGCTAGCAGAATGAGGACTCTCAGTGAAAGGCGCGTGTGCGAGGGTTGGGGAGGGGGGTTACACCCTTCCAGCTGGATCCCCACCCCACCCCCAGCACCCCCGGTGCTGCTCCAGACAAGCACCGTGATCTGGTTCTTATTCACACCAACACTGTGGGTTGGGGAGGCAGCAATAACAACCTCTCCTCTTAACTATTCCAAAAGCAACGCACAAAACCTGTGTCACTGCTTCAAAGTAGAGAGGTGTTTAACCCACAACCACCAGAGCTTTCCTTCAGGGAGAGAAGTGGGAGAGTAACGTCGAGAAGGGTGCCACACTCACCCCCCACCACCACCCAGGGGAGTTGTAACAAAGACCTAGCGGATCAAGGGGGCCCTTTCCAAGCAAAGTCTAAAATCGAACAAAGAATGTTTTCACTGATACAGCAACACAGAGAATACACACAGCCTCACGCAGTAAACACTGAGGGAAAAACCAGTCCCTTGGAAGAGAGAGGCCAACTTGGGCACTATGAGCAAGTGGTTCCCACTAAGGGGTATTACAGCACGGATGTAAGTGTGATACGAAATACTCACTATAGAGAGAATCATGTAATAAACAGTATTTTTGTAATTTGCTTTTTATTTCTCATTTAGTCAAATGCCACGGACAACTTTTCATTTCTACCTCTACCAAAATCTTTTAATAGTTCTTTGCTAGAAGTTCTAGTTATACAGGTATGGAGTCACATAGCATGATTAAAACAGAGACATCGGATTTTCTTTAAAGATGACAAGAATCAGGGGTGGGTTTCTGCTGCTGGTTAAGATGCCCTCATCCCACACAGGAGTGTCTGGGTTCCATTCCGGCTCCAGCTCTTGACCCCTGCTTCCCACCAACGTAGGGATGATGGCTCATGTAGCTGGGTTCCTGGCACCCACCTGGGAGACCCAGACTGAGTTCCTGTCCTTGGCCCAGCCCTGGCCATCACAGGCATTTCAGTGTTGAGTAAGCAGATGGGAGATCTGTCACTGTCTGTCTCTCTGCCTCTCAAATAGCTTTTTGAAAAATGAAAAGAATGACAGAGCCAAAGTACTGACCTCTCAGTAAACCACAGATCTATGTTATCCAACATAGTGTTCCCTAGCAACATCTATTTTTGGTTGTAGCTATTAGAAATAATTAAGGCATTAATTAATAAGTACAGGCATTTGGCATGGCAGTTAAGATGTTGATTAGGATGCACATATCTCATGTTGGAGTGCCTAGGTTCAAGTCCTGGCTCTGCTTCCTGCTAATGCACACTTTGGGAGGCAGCAAGTAATGGCTCAAGTAGTTAGGCCCCTGCCACCTGAATGGAGATCTGAGCTCCTGGTTTTGGTATGACCTGGCCCCGACTCTTGCAGACATTTGGGGAATGAACCAGAGGATGGTAAATCTGTGTGTCTCTCTGCTTTTCAAATAAAAAAAATAAATAAATAAAATAAACATTTTTAAAAGGAATTAAGGCTTATTTAAATCGAAAAAAGGTCATTCATACAAAACAATGAAAATAAATCCTTGGTGAATTTCTTTCCCACTCTTCCAGGTGACAGGAGGATCATCAGATTTTAAAACAGCGTATGAAGAAGATCCTACTCTGCATTGGGAAGGAATCCCTGATTTCCAGGTAGATCATGATATCCGCAAGTTACACATAGGGATATTTCATTTTAATGAAGGAAGTATAACAGGTAAAAACATTAAATAATATGAAAAATGATACGTATTATAAAGAAAATTAAATGACTATAGGGATGAGAGACTGAAAGGGCAGCTTTAAGATAGGAAAGCCACTGAAAAGTCATTTGACAACTTTGTATCACCTTTTTAACTGGAAATATGTTTTTTAAAAGACAAATTTACTGCTTTAAAAGTAAACCTGGGGCCGGCGCCACGGCTCACTAGGCTAATCCTCCGCCTCGCGGCGCCAGCACACCGGGTTCTAGTCCAGGTCGGGGCGCCGGATTCTGTCCCGGTTGCCCCTCTTCCAGGCTAGCTCTCTGCTGTGGCCCGGGAAGGCAGTGGAGGATGGCCCAAGTGCTTGGGCCCTGCACCCCATAGGAGACCAGGAGAAGCACCTGGCTCCTGCCATCGGAACAGCGTGGTGTGCCGGCCGCGGCGGCCATTGGAGGGTGAACCAACGGCAAAGGAAGACCTTTCTCTCTGTCTCTCTCTCTCCCTGTCCACTCTGCCTGTAAAAAAAAAAAAAAAAAAAAAAAAAGTAAACCTGGCCAGTACATTTCCACACCAAGGTATATAAAACACAATTATAAAAGATAAAAGAAGGGCTAGTGCTGTGGCATAGCAGGTAAAGCCGCTGCCTACAGTGCGGACATCCCATGTTGGGGCAGGTTCGAGTCCCAGCTGCTCCACTTCTGATCCAGCTGCCTGTTGATGCACCTGGGAAGGCAGTGGAGGATGGCCCGAGTGCCTGGGCCTCTGCCCCCATGTGGGAGACCTGGAAGAAGCTCCTGCCTCCCGGCCAAGTATGGCACTGAGGTGCTCCCACGTGGAACATGGGCATCCTAGCCGAATGCCCTCCCCCACCCTGAGCATTTTACCTATAGCAAGAATTTGTTCAGACTAGATCTAAGCTAAAGAAACTTTAGGTATGAAGTAGGTGAATATCCCAAGAATCTTAAGAACTAAAATAGAGGCTTAATTATTGAAATAAAAAATGGTGCAAAATTATTTACCCACCTCATACCAAGAAAATACAAAGACACATTTTGACAAAGACACACATGGGTTCAGCTCCCAGTCTGCTCAGGGTACACAGCACTAAACTAAAAATATCACTGTCTACAACATTCCATCACTACTTTCATCAACAGGTATTTTATTCTGAAAACTGAAAGAACAAAAACACAAGTAAACAATGCAGAAAAATGCAACAGGAGCTGTACATCCAATAGCACAGCATTCCTAGGCTCCCAGGACCTCAGTGTCTTGAAGTGTAAAATCAGATGTCAATCAGGTGTGGTATGAGCAAGCACAGAAAATCACCTAACAAGAATACCCCTTTTCAACAGGAGTAAAGCAATGTAAGTTACCTTCCTTACAGTTTTCCTCTTAGAATAAAGAAATACTGTCAAGGAAAAGTAAACTGATCACTTCTAGTACAAGGGTACTTCAAAAACTCCATGGAACATGCAATTAAAAGATATAGTTTGGTGCAAAAAAATTGAAATCCATACAAGAGCTCTTCAATAAGTTCATGAAAATGTGTACTATGAAAAAAAAAACTATGCTTGGATTTTAAAAATGTCTTTGCACCAAAATAAACATCTTTTTTTAAAAAAAAAATTTATTTATTTGAAAGTCAGAGTTACACACAGCAAGAAGGAGAGAGAGAGAAAGAGAGAAAGAGGTCTTCCATCTGCTGGTTCACTCCCCAATTGGCAGCAATGCTCACAGCTGCACCAATCTGAAGCCAGGAGCCAGGAGCTTCCTCTGGGTCTTCGCATGTGGGTGCAGGGGCCCAAGGACTTGGGCTATCTTCTACTGCTTTCCCAGGCCATAGCAGAGAGCTGGATTGAAAGTGGAGCAGCTGGGACTTGAATCAGCGCCCATATGGGATGCCAGCACTGGAGGCGGCAGCTTTACCCACTACACCACAGTGCCGGCCCCAATAAACATCTTTTAATTGCATTTTCTACAAGCTTTTGAAGTACCCTGTACAGATATTTATATAACATTCTATGTGTAGCTTTCAGAAATTTCCCGCACATCAGTTTGAAAAAGCATGCAAAACTAGAGAAAAGCTTAGAGCAGCCAGAGCCCACTGACCTTAAGCCATTGAACAGTTGCTTAGATTTATCCAGAAGGTAACAAAAATCCGTAACTGTCTTCCTCTCCCCCTGAGGGATGTCATCTTCAGCACCTCCAGAGGACATGATTTCTTTGAGAGCAAATTCAGTCCTGTAGGGAAACATGCATTTAGTTATCCTGCACTAAGAACCAAGAGAGAAACAGATTTTAGTTATGTCACCTGATAGCATTCAGAGAGATACAGAATTCTGATCACAACCAATTCATCAAAATAATTTAATTAAGATGGCTGTTGGAAAATAGATAATCTCATTTCATAGTGGGAGTGAAAATCAGCAAAACAATATTGGAAAAATAATTCTCATCATATTCTTTCTTTTTTTTATTTATTTTTTATTTATTTATTTTTTTGACAGGCAGAGTGGACAGTGAGAGAGAGAGAGACAGAGAGAAAGGTCTTCCTTTTGCCGTTGGTTCATCCTCCAATGGCCGCCACAGCCGGCGCGCTGCAGCCGGCGCACCGCGCTGATCCGATGGCAGGAGCCAGGATCCAGGTGCTTTTCCTGGTCTCCCATGGGGTGCAGGGCCCAAGCACCTGGGCCATCCTCCACTGCACTCCCTGGCCACAGCAGAGAGCTGGCCTGGAAGAGGGGCAACTGGGACAGAATCCGGCGCCCCAACCGGGACTAGAACCCGGTGTGCCGGCGCCGCAAGGTGGAGGATTAGCCTAGTGAGCCGCGGCGCCGGCCATCATATTCTTTCTTACAACACATATTACTTGCTGCATGTTATGTTCTGGGTATTCTTCTAGAAGGCCAACAACCTGGAACACTGATCCTTTCACCTACTTGTTTATTTGCTCCATTCTGCAAATCTATCTAGGAAATGAAATGATCATACAAATATAAAATACCTTATCCACATTTTTTCAGTAATATAACTTTAAAAACTGAAAACCTAAAGAAAGAAACCCAAAACAGGAAATGGTCAATTACATCATAGAATACTAACCCCTACACCCAGCCCTATCACTCACTAACTCACAATTAAGAAGGCGAGACAACAGAATGAGGACTCTTCAACATAAAAGGGATATAAAAATTACACACACACGGATATATATCACAACTATCTTTTATTGAGTCCAAACCATCTCCATATGTAGTCAATTATATTAGTCAGCCATTTAAAGATGGTGGGTTCCTGGCAAGTATGTGTATTATGACCCTACCACTAAATTCAAAAAAATGCATTTGTGTTTACACAAAGACAGAGATCCCTGGGGCAAGAGAGGGAAGCCTGGTCCAAGTGCAGGGTAAAGAAACAGGCAGGGTAGACGAGGGCCCGAAACCAGAGATGGAAGCTGGGGTGTGGTATGGTTATTTTGGTGAATATTTTTCTCTCTAACGTTGTCCTGAACAGGCAATTATGGTCAGAAGGCAGGAAGACTGTCAGCACGCCTAGAGCTGTCAAGGGGCTTCAGGGTAGCACCAAGGTGGCACCGGAGCCGGCTGGCGGGGGGTCCGTGACATGCGTGGACAGCACTGGGTGCTCCCTGCATGCTCACAGGTTCCCTCTTCTCACCACCTCTCTCCACAATGCCCAGACCAGAGCAAAACAGATCCTGAAAAGGACTGGCCCAGGAAGAGGTGTCACGCTGTAACACACAGCCCTTTTGGCCCTGGGCAAGTCCTGTCCTCTCCACCCTGAATCCAACACAGGCATTCATGGGACAGAAAAAGAAGAGTGTGAAACAAGCTCAGTGAGGGAGGGTGTTACAAATAAAGCAGGAAGAAGATGTCACAATGAAGCAAATAAAAACCTTGGTATGAAAAATACAAACACTGAAATAAGGAACTTGGATAAAGAGCAGAAAGGATAATGTTGAAAAAAATGAGTAAGCTAAAATACTAGGTTTAAGGTACTCTGCCAAAAAATTATCAGGAACACATGAAATAAATAAATGAAAACTCAAGAGACATGGGATACAGAACTAGGGAAATAAACAGCCACATAACATGAGAGTGCTTCACCAAGCTCAGGGAGGCGTGGGGGCGTCTGGGATGCAGCCTGGGATGCCTACACCCCATGCGGAAGTCCTGGCTCTACTTTCTGATCCAGCTGCTTGCTGATGTGCACCCCAGAAGGCAGAGGATGACGGCCCAAGAACTTAGGAGACCTGGACTGAGCTCCGCCCTCCTGACTGCTGTGGGCACTTGGGGCGTGAACCAGTGGTTGCAAGATCTCCGTTTCTCTTTGTTTCTTTCTATCACTTTCTTTAAAAATGAAATTAAAAAGTTGTTCAAAGTTAGCGCATGCAGACAAGGAATTTACAAATACTTAACTGAAAATCCTATGCAAATATTTTTTAAATGTTTGTATCAAAATAGACTCCATTTCCCATGAACTTCTGGTAATACACAGCACACTTTCTAGTATATACAGGAGAGAAAAAAATTGAATGAAGACATATTTGAAGAAATAATGACTAAATTTCCCAGAATTATAAAAAATATAAGACATCAAACTGAAAAGACTAAAAAGAATGGGAAAGAATAACAGAGATAAAGGCATAATCTTACAGCTAGAAACATTAAAGTAAACAACAAATCCAGAGAGGTCCTCTCTCCTTCCTAAACAATTCAGTCCTACAGCCATTAGTGGGTGCCCACGTGGAGAGAAGCCTGCATGGACGTTTATCACTAGGATGAACACACCAGACACCTAACTCCTGGCTTGTAACATCTATCATTTGTGGGGCCGGCACTGTGGCACAGTGGGTTAATGCCCTGGCCTGAAGTGCCAGCACCCCATATGCACGCTGGTTCGAGACCCGGCTACTCCACTTTCAATCCAGCTCTGCTATGGCCTGGGAAAGCAGTAGAAGATGGTCCTAGTCCTTGGGCCCCTGCACCCACGTGGGAAGACCGGAAGAAGCTCCTGGCTCCTGGCTCCTGGCTTCAGATTGGTGCAGCTGTGACCGTTGCGGACAATTGTGGAGTGAACCAGCGGATGGAAGACCTCTCTCTCTCCTCTCCTCTCTCTGTGTAACTCTGACTTTCAAATAAATAAATAAATCTTAAAAAAATATTTATCATTCGCCAGTAAAAGGAACCAGACCTCCTTGGAGAAGTGTAATTGGCTAATGACAGCACTATGGTAGGATATTTTTGTGCCAGAAAGCAAGAAAGTACTCAAACAACCAAGGGAGACATGTCAAAAGGACATAAGCAAGAAAGGATGACAGGGACATGTCCAAACAACACAGGATCTAGCAGGAGGGACAGCACACTGGCCAAACCAGGGATAACCTCAGCAATGGAATAACTGCAGCAATGGAACAATCTATTGGATAAATAAGAAACCAAGAAGCATTACTGGTATAAATAAATGAGTGAACCAAAAGAACGTTTCATAGTGAATGGGATGGCTTCGGAGTATTTCTCCTCAAAATATAAATCAATTCTAAAAAGAAAGAGTAACTCACAGCAGTAAAACTTGGCAGGTACCGTCTGGATCAAGGGCTCAAAGCGAACATCTGTAGTAATCACACAAGTCAGAGTCCTGGACAATGAGAAGGGATGTGCCTGCCAAAACTCTAGCCCCTGAATTGAACCAGGAGGAAACATTCTACAAAATAACCAACCTGTCCTAATCAGAAACATCTCAAAGTTTCCTTCAAGGTACAATGCTGACTCCGAACTGGATTCTTCGGCTACAAAGGATGTTACCGAGCCCACTGGTAAGGCTGGAACGGATCCAAAGGCTGGACCGGAGTGATGTATCAATGTTAATAAGGAGGCTGTCACCACTCACCAGTTACAGGCAAAATACAAGCCTAGTGCCACAAAACTAACACATTATGAGGCAGGTGCTGTGGCACAGTGGGTTAAGCTGCTGCGTGGGATCACTTCATCTCATAATGGAGTATCTGTTTTTTTTTTTTTTTAAGATTAATTTTATTTATTTCAAAGGCACAACAACAGAGAGAGAGGAGAGACAGACAGAAACAGATCTTCCATTGACTGATTGACTCTCCAAATGGCTACAACAGCCTGGGCTGGGCCAGACAGAAGCAAAGAGCCGGAAATCCACACGTGATCTCTCCCACGGGTGGCAGGGGCCCAGTACCTGCGCCATCCTTGGCTGATTTCCCAGGAGCATTAGCAGGGAGCTGGCTCAGAAACGGAGAAGCCAGGAGGTGCTCCAATAGAGGATGCTGACGTCACAAGAGACGGCTTCACCTGTGGTGCCACAATGCGCCCGCGTGCTAATGCATCCTAGCTGGCAGCAGGTGATAGGTCTGCCACCCACACAGGGGCACCAGGCTGTCGTTCCTGGCTGCTGACTTCAGCCAGGCCCAGGTCTAGCTGTTGCAGGCATTTGGGGAGTGAATCAGCAGATGGAGATCTCTGTTTCTCCCTCTGTCTCTGCCTTTCAAGTGTGTGAAGATAAATAAATGAACATTTTGAAAGATATGTACTATTTATAGCAACTGAGAACACACTGGAACCAGTATGTCTGCTAGAGGCAGTGTAAAATAATTCAAACCTGTGTATTTCACTGAACAAATAAGGGGACATAAAATGGTCATTCTGTTAGATTCAGCAATTATACTTGTGGGAACTTACCTTCAGAAAGATGCTAACTGTCACCATTGGTAAATTATTCACAACACAGGAAAATGGTCAAAAAATGCTAGCTTGCTGGATAGCCATAACATAGCACCTGCCATCCTTCAATGTCTGTTCTTTCCCGTATCACCTGACACTCGCAAATGCCTCTTCTCTAATCTCACTGAACTGTCTGCAGGTGTCAGGACAAACCCTGCTCTCATACAGCATCATGATTTTACATATTATTCATTCTAGCTATTTGGTTCACCTGGCAAATTTATATTCATAGCTCAAGACATTCAAATGACACCTTTTCAGTAAAATCTTGCTTGACAATCTACTCTCTCCCTGGCACCTACCTGTGAACAAGTCCCTGGCGGGTTTTTCAGTTACTCCACAAAAAGTCAATCAAATATAACTACATGGGGTCTTTAAAAAAAAAGTCTGTCTCACCCTCTGGATCCACAATGTTCAGCTCTGCAGTCATTAGTCACATGTGGCTGTTTAGCACTTGAACCATGAGTACTCTCAAATCAATGCACTGATAAGTACAAAGCAGACCAAATTTAGAAGGTCTGGTATGGAAAAAAGGCTGTAAAAGATGCATGAATAATTGTTATATGGGTTGTATGTTGAAATAGTATTTTTGTTTCTGAGTTAAATAAAAATATATTTCTAAAATTAATTTCACCTGTTACCTTTTTAAAGTTTATTCATTAATTTTTATTTATTTAAAAGGTAGAGTGAGCGACAGACATGTTTCCTTTGCTGGTTCACTCTCCAAATTTCCACAACAGCTGTGGCTAGGCCAGGCTAAAGCCAGGGGCCTGGAACTCCATCCAAGACTCCCAAGGGGTGGCAGGGATCCAACTACCTGGAGTATCACCTGCTGGAGGCTGGTATCAAAAATGGAAGCCAGTAATCCTCCGCCTTGCGGCGTCGGCACACCAGGTTCTAGTCCCGGTCGGGGAGCCGGATTCTGTCCCGGTTGCCTCTCTTCCAGGCCAGCTCTCTGCTGTGGCCCGGCAAGGCAGTGGAGGATGGCCCAAGTGCTTGGGCCCTGCACCCCATGGGAGACCAGGAGAAGTACCTGGCTCCTGCCATCGGATCAGCGCGGTGCACCGGCTGCAGTGCGCTGGCCGCGGCGGCCATTGGAGGGTGAACCAACGGCAAAAGGAAGACCTTTCTCTCTGTCTCTCTCTCACACTGTCCACTCTGCCTGTCAAAAAATAAATTAATTAATTAATTAAAAAAAAAAATGGAAGCCAGGACATGAATCCAGCCACTGAGGTATGTGACACAGGCACCCTATGTGACATCTTCACCACTGTATACTCACTCTGCTTTTTACTTTTTAATATGGTTTATAGAAAATTTAAAATCACACATGACTTGCTTATATCTCTATTGAACAGTGCAGTGCTAGACTTGAATCTGAAGAGCCAGTATAGTCTTTATCTTATCTTTCTGTCTCCCACAATAAAGCACACACATATATACCACCTGCACATACCATGTATATAACAAACGTTTGTTGAATGAATGAATGAAATGAATGGAAATAAGGGAGAAAATCTATGTATTTATAATAGTAGAAAGCTTTAAGTAATTTTGAGTATTCCTACTATAATGGAATATTTAATTATGAGCTGGTCATTCCACAGCCTATTAGCACACAGATTCTAGCTATGTATATTATGCTATTTAAGAAAGTGTGTGTGTGCTTTTTAAGATTTATTTTATTTATTTGAAAGGCAGAGTTACACAAAGGGAGAGACAGAGAAAGAGTGAGAGACAGAGGGAGAGAGATCTTTCATTCGGTGGTTCACTCCCCAGATGGCCACAACTCCCAGGGCTGTGCCACATTGATGCCAGGAGCCTGAAGATTCTTCAAGGTCTCCCACATGGTGGCAGGGGTCCAGGCACTTCCACTGCTTTCCCAGGCCATTAGCAAGGAGCTGGACTAGAAGTGGAGCAGCCAGGACATGAACTGGCATCCATCTCAGGCAGCGGCATAACCTGCTACATCACAAGACTGGCCATGCAAAGTGTGTTTTGATACACTAAATCACAAAGAGAGGGAGAGACACAGAGAGATCTTTCATCCACTGGTTCACTCCCCAGATGTGATAACAGCCACGACTGGACCAGGCCAAAGCCAGGAGCCACAGCAGGGGCCCAAATATTTGGGCTAGCCTCTGCTGCTTCTCCCAGGCCATTAGCAGAGAGCTGGATCAGAAATGGAGCAGCCAGGACACGAACCGGAGCCCATATGGGATACCAGTGTCACAGGCGGCAGTTTTACTTGCTATACCACAATGCCAGCCCCAGAGTAGCATACTTCTCCAAAGTAGTTTCAATTGTCTTGCATGACAAGACAATCATACTTATGTTTATCAAACCTTACAATATTCTGTCATAAAAGATAGTTTGTATAATTTGACTTTTTTGGTGTTCCTGTTCAAGTATTCTAAGTACACCCCAGTATTTTATAAGTCAACGCACTCTTACTTGTAACTGCCACTTAATGACATTCTGCCTTAATGGTACAGAAACCAGGGCCTCATGCCACACCAGACTATAAATCCATTATGGAATAAATCCATTCTACATCGATTCTTTTTTTTTAAAAGATTTATTTATTTACTCGAAAGTCAGTTACACAGAGGAGAGGCAGAGAGAGAGAGAGAGAGAGAGAGAGAGAGAGAGTGAGAGAGAGAGAGGTCTTCCATCCGCTGGTTCACTCCCCAATTGGCTACAATGGCCGGAGCTGTGCCGATCTGAAACCAGGAGCCAGGAGCTTCTTCCAATTCTCCCACATGGGTGCAGGGGCCCAAGGACTTGGGCCATCTTCTACTGCTTTCCCAAGCCATAGCAGAGAGCTGGATCAGAAGTACAGCAGCCGGGACTCGAACCGGCACCCGGCGCTTCAGGCCAGGGCGTTAACCCACTTCGCCACAGTGCCAGCCCCGTGAATGATAGAGTATTTGGGCCATCTTCTACTGCCTTCCGGAGTATTAGCAGGGTCAGTCAATAAATTTTAATGATACACCTTGCATGATATTTTAAAACTGTGATAAGAGGTTTAATGTATTAAGAAAAACCAAGCGTCACTTAAGAACATTATCTTGCTAAGGTTATTTTCCATTTTTATAAGCATAATGTTAAAATATCAAATTACATGGTAGATTACATAATTTCGACTAATAATCTCAAACAACACAAATTAAAATAATTTTTTAATTAAAAAAGAAAAATACCATGTTAAAACTATTAAGAGTTAGAGGGTAGAGTGGTTAAGTCTCTGCTTGGGATGCCCACATCCCATGTCAGACTGCCAGTTTTAAGGCTGGCATCCACTTCCATTCCAACTTCCTGAGACTGCATTGTCGGAGTTGGCAGATGATGATGGCTCAAGTGCCTGAGCCCCTGTCATCCAAGTGGGAGACCTAGACAGCGTTCTAGGCTCCTGAATTCAGCCTGGCCCAGCCCCAGGTTGTTCTAGCCATTTAGGGAGTGAACCAGGAAATGGCAGATCTTTCTGTCTCTCTGCCTCTCAAACAAACGAACAAGTCATTTTCTTTAAAAGGTTAAAAGTAAAAGTATGGAAAACATACATTTGGCAAACATTAATCAAAAGGGATGAAATACAGCTATGTTGTTATCAAGCAAAATTAAATGTAAAGAAAAAATCTGTAGAGATGAGAGTATTTCTTTATCACAAAACGTTGAACTCAATACATAATTCTTAAAGTTGTATGCAAGTAACAACACAGCTTCAAAGTAGAAACACAAAAATGGATAAAACTAAGTAAAGCAACAGAAGAATCCACCATTATAATGGGAAATTTAGGACATATCCTTCAGCAACTGAATGAGAATCAAATCAAAAAAGAATTATAGTAAGAGTTTTTTAATTCTCACTTTTAATACCTGTCAATCACCCAACTGAAATACAGGGAATCATGTACTTAATGACTGTAGAATACATATTTTTTCACATATAAGTGGAAAAATTATAAAAACCATTTCTATGCTAGATATAAAACAAGTCTCAACTTGTTGCAAAGATCTAAAATCAGAGTATACATTCTAAACACACTGCAATAAAATGAAAAAATCAATAGAGCAAAATGAGAAAAATTTCTATTTGGAAATTTATATACGCATTAAAATAATTCACTGGTCAAAAAGAAACCATAGGCCGGCGCCGCGGCTCACTAGGCTAATCCTCCACCTTGCGGCGCCGGCACACCGGGTTCTAGTCCCGGTCGGGGCGCCGGATTCTGTCCTGGTTGCCCCTCTTCCAGGCCAGCTCTCTGCTGTGGCCCGGGAAGGCAGTGGAGGATGGCCCAGGTGCTTGGGCCCTGCACCCCATGGGAGACCAGGAGAAGCACCTGGCTCCTGCCTTCGGATCAGCGCGGTGCGCCGGCTGCAGCGCGCCAGCCGTGGTGGCCATTGGAGGGTGAACCAATGGCAAAAGGAAGACCTTCCTCTCTGTCTCTCTCTCTCTCACTATCCACTCTGCCTGTCCAAAAAAAAAAAAAAAAAAAATCATAATTAAAATTAAAAATACCCTGAACTGACTGACAAAAAAAGCATTTGGATACAGAGAAATCTATGTTTAGGGAGAAATGTATGTCTTCAAATACATTAGAAAAGAGGCTGGAAAAAGAACAGCCAATTAATCCCACAGAAAGAAGACTGAAATAAATCTACATAAAAGGGAAGAAATTAGTTAAATACAAAGCATGCACACAACAGAAATGAGCAGGTATAAAGGCCGGTTCTTGGGAGACCAATAAAACCCTGGCAGAGTGATGCAGGGGAGTACCCCAAATCAGAAAGATCCAAGGGCACAAGAGGTTGTCACAGGAATATTGTGAATAGCTTTATGCCAATCGAATCTATTTGATCATTTAGGTGAAACAGACAAACACTTCACAGGAAACCTCATCCAAAAACCAGAAATTTTGAATCCCTTTCTCTCTAGTCAGGAAACTGCCTAATCAGAAACCTACCAACGATGAAAATTCCAGGTCCAGATGGCTTTACCAGCAAATTACACAAAACATTGAAAGAAGGAAAAAAACGTAAACCTTACACCAGCTATTGCAGACAATGGAAGGAAAAACATTGCAGCACAATCATTTTGTAAGGCCAACATAACTTTGATACCAAAACCTTGACAAGGATATTATAAGAAAGGAAAATTATAGACCATTCTCAGTAATAAACACAGATGCAAATATGCTAAACCAAATGTTAGCAAATCCCATTCAGCAACATATAAAAAGGACATGACAAAACTGGGCTTATTTTAGGAATATGAAGTTGACTTGATCATTGAAAACCAACCACTGTAATTTACCACATAAGTAGAATGAAAGGGAAAAATCATGACAGCTTCTTAACAGATGCAGAGCACGCATTGGGTAAAATTTCACAGTGACTCACAAATAAGAAAAAATAACTCAGGAAACTGGGAACAGAAAGAACTTCTTAATCACAGAGAACATGTAGTTAAAAACCATCCTATTTACTTAAATGTTGATCTACTTCCTCATGAGATTTTGAACACCTGATGTCATGAGGATCTGAAAACATATGGAATAAAAGAAAAGTGGGGCCAGCGCTGTGGCCAGCGCTGTGGCGCAGTGGGCTAAGCTGCCACTTGGCGATGCCTGCGTCCCGTATCTGAGTGCTGGTTTGAATCCCGGTTGCTTCATTTCCAACACAGCTCCCTGATAATGCACCTGGGAAAACAGCAGATCCAGCTTCCTGCTGATGTGCCTGGGAGGGCAGTAAATGATGGCAGTGGAAGATAGTTCAAGTATTTGGGCCTCTGCCACCCATGTGGAATACCTGGAAGAAGTTCACGGCTCCTGCCTTCAGCCTGACCCAATCCTGGTTGTTGCAGGCATTTGGGGAGTGAACCAGCAAATGGAAGATGTCTCTCAGTCTCTCCCTCTCTGACACTTTGTCTTTCAAATAAATGAATAAATAAATATTTTTAAAGTGAAACTTCAAAAATGATGTATCAAAAATAAAAAGTAACTAAGAATAAATAGATGAAGATATACAAGATTTCATCATAGAAAACTGTAAAACACTTAGAAATAAAGACCTCTAGAAGATTAACAATATACCATTCTCTTAGTGACGGAAAGTCTCAAAATTGTAAAGACTGGGGGCTGGCACTCTGGCATAGCAGGTAGAGCCGCCACCTATTGGGCCGGCATCTCATATAGGCACCAGTTTGAGTCCAGACTGCTCCACTTACGATCTACCTCCCTGCTGATGGTCTGGGAAAGCAGTAAATGGAGTCAGTCCAAGTCCTTGGGCCCCTGCACCCACATAGGAGACCTGGATGAAACTCCTGGCTCCTGGCTGGAATATCTCTCTCTCTCTCTCTCTATTTTCTCTTCTCTCTCTGTCTCTGACTTTCAAGTAAATAAATAGATCTTTAAGAAATACATTACTACTAGCATCTCTTACTTATCTGTCATCTCTTCTAAAGTCACCACTCTCCCAAATAAGCTATCAAATGCCGTAATTTGTTTGGTACTTTTTATTTTGGAATTATGTGGAATGTACTATTTAAAGATTTATTTGCAGGAGTCACAGAGAGAGAGGGAGAAACAGAGAGAGAGAGAGAGAGAGAAAGAAAGAGAGAGAGATCTTCCATCTGCTGGTTTACTCCCCAGATGACCACAACAGCCAGGACCTGAAGCCAGGAACCAGGAGCTTCTTTCAGATCTCCCAAACACTTGGCCATCCTCTGCTGCTTTTCCCAGGCCATCAGCAGGAAGCTGCATCAGAAGTGGAGCAGCTGGGACTCGAACCAGTGCCCATACGGGATGCCAGCATTGCAAAGCCACTATGCCACAATGCCGTTCCCAATACTGTACTTCTTGACCTGGAGTTAGCACTGGGAAAATTCACTGAGTTATTATTTATGTACTTCCTGACTGTGTTATTCTTGAATTAAAAAGACCTGAAAAACAGGAAGGAAAGAAGGAAGGAAGGAAGGAAGGAAGGAAGGAAGGAAGGAAGGAAGGAAGGAAGGAAGGAAGGAAAGGATGAAGAAGGGAAAAACACCAGATCCACACGTTTTTACAAGTGATTTTACTAAATATTTAAACAGTGAATATACTTTACTCCCAACAATTACTTTAATGAGGCTAACATAACCTTGACACAAAATCACAGAAAGGTGATACAAAAAAAGCAAACTCACAGGCCTAACTCCTTACTATACAAACAGTTCTTACAGCCCCAAATGCTTATCATATTAGATCATCAATAACTGATAATTTAACATACAGCACCAAAAACAATCTCATTGGTTTACTAATAAATAAATGGTGAATTATGACTTACGACCTGATTTGGAAGTAGAGTCTTTGCAGATGTACTGAAACTTAAGGTGAGGTAACACTGGAGTGGAGTGGGTCCTTTATCCAATGTGACTGCTGTCCTTATGACAAAAGAAGCAGAGACACAGAGAGAAGAATGCCATGTGAAGACACAGGAGGAAGGCAGTTGTGTGAAGACGGAGGCAGAGACTGGAATTATGCAACTCCAAGCCAAGGACTGCCAAGGATTGCTAGCAACCAGCAGAAGCTAAGAGAGGAACAGATTCTTCTGAGCTCCAGGAAGAACCAATTCTGCAGCAATTCACTTTTACTCTGGCTGCCTGCACTGTGACAGCACACATTTCTGAAGTCTTAAACTGCCTGGTTTGTCATGTCATTTTGCCTTTCCTTTGTATTTCTGAGATGACTGATGAAGTTCAGGGCCTGTCATTCATTCCAGCAGGCCCAGGAAACTAACAGGTATTTAATCCTTGGAGTCCTCTAGCACATACTACGACATGCACAGACAAGCAAACGAGCGATGATGGGGATAACAGCCAAGCTTAATCTGTTAAATACATAAAATTTAGCAAATTACTGACCAGCCTGTTGACAGTTTCTTTTTTTAAATTTTTGTTTATTTATATAACAGGCAGAGATAGAAAGAAAGAGTTTTCCCATCTACTGGCTCACTCCTCAAATGCCTGCAACAGCCAGGGCTGGGCCAGGCCAAAGCCTGGAGCTGGGAATTCCATCCATGTCTCCCACATGGGTGGCAGGGACCCAAGCTACTTGAACTATCACCTGAGACTCCCAGGGTGCACATTAGCAGAAAGCTGGAATCAGGAGCAGACCCAGGAGTTGAATCCAGGCACTTTAAAATGGGATGAGGGTGGCCGGCGCCGTGGCTCAATAGGCTAATCCTCCAGCAGGATGAGGGTATCCCAAGTGGTACCTTACCTTACTAGGCCAAATACTTGCCCCAGATGGTTCTTTTTTTTTTTTTTTTTTTTGACAGGCAGAGTGGACAGTGAGAGAGAGAGACAGAGAGAAAGGTCTTCCTTTTGCCGTTGGTTCACCCTCCAATGGCCGCCTCAGCCAGCGCACCGCGCTGATCCAATGGCAGGAGCCAGGTGCTTCTCCTGGTCTCCCATGGGGTGCAGGGCCCAAGCACTTGGGCCATCCTCCACTGCACTCCCGGGCCACAGCAGAGAGGTGGCCTGGAAGAGGAGCAACCGGGACAGAATCCGGCGCCCCGACCTGGACTAGAACCCAGTGTGCCGGCACCGCAAGGCGGAGGATTAGCCTAGTGAGCCGCGGTGCCAGCACCCCAGATGGTTTCTATAAGAAAGAAATCTTGAGAGAACATGGTGTAAGTCTGTACTGCATCGTACAGTCACAATGGCAGTGGACAAAGCCTTGACTAGTTCAGAAGCCTGAATAAGCCTGGTTCTTCTAACACTTACTACTTACGTGATCATACACAAACAAAAAAAACTGCAGTTAACACTTTGAGCTGTAGAGTTTTCTTTTGTCTTGTTTTACTTATTAGAGAGAGAGAGAGAGAGAGAGAGAGAGAGAGAGAGGGACAGATAACTTTTCAAGCCAGGGCTGTGTCAGCACAAAGCCAGGCACCAGGAATTCCATCCAGACCGCCCACGTGGGTTGCAGGAACCCAGGTGTTTGAGCATCTTCCACTGCCGTCGCAGGAACACCAGCAGGAAGCTGGATTGGAAGGACGGGAGTGGTTGGATACCAGGCACGCTGACAGGAGACGCGACATCCCAAGCTGCACCATCACGCCTACTTTGAATCACAGGTATTTAATCGACAGAAACAAGCAATGTACACCTGTCTTGACAAGCTCAGGTAACTGTTGTTAACATAAAAAAGACATTCTTGGGAAAGGTGTTTGAGGCAGCAGGTGAGACGGCTGCCTAAGTCGCCTGTATCACATATCAGAATGCCTGGATTTGAGCCCCACCTGCACTTCTGATTGCAGCTTCCTGCTGATGTATACCTTGGGAGGCAGCAGATGACGGCCCCAGTCCCTGGGTCTCTACCACCCGTGTTTGAGACCCAGACTGAGTTCCAGGTTTTCCAGTGTCAGCCTGGCCCAGCCCAGGCCATTGCAGGCATTTAGAGTCAAC